TACTTAATTTATTTTTACTTTGCAATTTGTTAATTTATGTATTATTTAGTAGTGGCCAATCGTTATTGTTGAACTTGTATGCTTTTATATTTTTCTATTTATATGTTTATTTCATATATAAAAGTATAATTGGAATCTATTATGTATATAAGTAAATAACTAAATAATAAATAATTATTATTTTATAAACTAAATCATAGTTTCCTCTATTCCATGGTAAATTTGTAAAGTATCGATTTTTACTTGGGCGTCCGTAAATTTTCAAAGGGACGACGATAGTCAGGTACTTTGAAATGGTAATTGGAGTTCTCTGGAGTTACAGGAGAGATATAACATTCCCTCCGATTTGCAGATCACGAGACACAAAGCTCGGGATTATGAAATTTAATGAGGAACTGTTTCGACCTGAGTAACTGGTGCCTTATTATAATATTTTTATCGGGAACTTTTGGTAAATAATTTAACTTTTTATTTTTAATATTCAACAGCTATATCTTATGTTTCGCAAATTCAGTGTATGTAATTTTTTTTTTTCCACTCTAAACTATAAGAAATAAATTTATTGAGATCATAGTTCACTTCCGCATCTCATTTTATTGGACATCTATAAATAATTAATTTCATGGTTCATCAATGTGAATTTAAATTATTAAAAACCTTCATAATTTAGAAAACATCTATATCCTATAAATAGAAAATGAAAAAAAAAAAATTCTAACTCTTGAAATAAACCATTCCCAAGAACATTAAAAAAAGTTTTACTTGTTTGTACTCACGAGCTGGAGCCGATGCGCACAATCTACGTACAAGTAAAATATACTTGGCTTACCTGAAACACGAAGAAAAATAAAAGCCATTAGTAACGATATTCAATATAAATACTGAATATTTTTTCTTATTAACAATCAACGCAAATGAATCGAAAAAAAGTGGCTAAAATCAGCCCCAACTTTATCAGTCGCACTTTACACCACCCATTAACCAACACCCGCGGCCTAATAACGAATCCCGAGGTAAAACTGAACGAGCGTACAAGGACTGCGTATGAAAAAAAAAGAGAGATAACGCCGAGAGTGGGAGGGGTCCGGAGTCTGATTAATTAAGCGCGTATCGATTGGGGCATTAGATAGGATTCCGTGCGCCTTCCTCTAGTTTGGACCACATCCTACAACACACGGTGTGGGTGGCGAAATGCTGTTGTATGTGAAGACGCAGCGTCGTATATATATATATACGCTCGTGATGGGTAGGTACATGTGTGTACACCACTGCACGTGTCAGTGACCCTCATCCGTTTAACTACTACCCCGTCATTTGTGGGGATGCAAATTTATTTATTTATTCATAGGACAGAATTCGGAAGTCGTATCGTATGCCCTTGGGCTTTAGGTTAAAAATGTGTACCAATGGAGGGGAGGAAAGAAACAAAAAAATTGGTAGCAGAGTCTTGTCAAAGATGAGAAGGAGAGATGGAAGTTTTGGCTCCAAAGATAGGTATAGATTTATCGATTATACTGCGTATACGTGGTTTTTCCAAATTAAAAAAAAAAAAAAAAGAAAACTAACCATCCAGTTTTTTTCAGGTTTCATTGTACGATTATTGTTGTTTTTTCTATAAATTAAAGTGTTTTTCAACGAAGCACTAATTAAGAGAGCGATTATTGGTGAATATCGTAAGGTACGTCGAAACGCGAAACGAATTTTGATAACACAATAGTACCAGAGTAAAGCCCCCAATGATTCAATGTTAATCAACGAAAGCGTGGAAAATCAGCTATTCCATTTCACAAGCCCCTGCGTCGTTCAACATGTGTGCATGATCGATGACGATGACACGGCGCGCGTTGCCGCTGCGCAGGGACTGCTAAATCCGACCGGTGATGCATGCACCCACTGGCCATTGGTTTCGAGACCGTAAACAAGAATTTTTAGCACTAAAAGGGGAAGATTGGCGGAAAAGGTGAAACTGGAGTAAGGCAAAGCTTAAAGGTGAAAAATTGCCTTTTAAAATAATTGTAAAAAAATTTGTGGTTGTAATATTATTGAAGAAAAATGTTTATTTGTCAAAATATATCAATTGGATATCGCAAAATTTAATGCACGATTATATTTACCATCACTATGGTACATGTACTTTTTAATATTTGTCAAATACTCTTTGGAATAATATTATTTAACTCAAAGGTTTATGTACTGTTAAAATAGGTAATGTCATGCATCAAAACAACATCTAAACAGTTTATTTAAAATTTTCTATTACTTCTAATGTATTTTAATGCTATTTTTCAAATTTACGAACATATTTAATAATAATCAATAAGATTATTTTATACTTTTTTTTAATCTTTAGAAAATTTTTAAAATTAAAATGAATGAGAACTTTACGAGTACGCATTAATTAAAACACGAGTTGATTGAAATTTTATTTTCAGCCCAAGCTTTGAGCAGCAGAAAATTTTCATAATTAATGCTTTTGAAACAGCTACGAAGCACAAAAAGCAGATCAACCTCGCACGTGTTACGCAAATAAGGCAAATAATCATTTCGGTCAGTTTAAATTACGAACCTTACAAAATGAAACAAACTCACTACTTACTATGAAATTGAATTTGAATAAGGTTTTCTTTACGGTACTACTGTGCAAGTCATCTTACAATCTCTCTAGTAGATTAAATAAATGTACTGAATTGCAGCTATGATTGAAATTTCCCATTAAATTCTGCAAATTTATACACTGTCACAGAAAAGATTTATTTTATTTTAACTATGACCCATTTACAAAAAAAAAAGCAAAATAATTTCCCCAAATAATTCATTTACTCATATCCAGCCAATCCTTTTCAAAAAGGTCATAAATTCCCGACAAAAAACATTACTCGCTCGTGATTAATATAGTCCTAAACTATAAGTACTAAAATGAGATGTTATCGACATTTTGGTGCATACGACCAGCTACATTATCGTATAGTTGTCAAGTTGTAATGCTCTGGTGTATATACCGCGTCATACACTGCGTCAATTACGTTTTCTGATGTACATATGTGACGACGCCCATTATGTACTAATTTAGCCCTCGCATTGATGAATAATGTTTATTAATTATTTCAAGTTTATGAGTTCGAAAGTGAGAATTGTAGAGGGAATTCCAAGTTGTGATGTTTTAGTTTTAGAATTTTGACACTTAATTTTATGGATGATTTTAAAAATACATCAAGTAAAAATCACAAAAGTGCAGATGTATTAAAACAGTTTTAAAATAATTCTTGATAAAAAAAAATTTTCAAACGCAATGATAACTTTATACCTCTTTCATCCCCAAAATCGATACAAATCAATTCTCTCGCTCGTGTTATTTCTCCGTGTGAAAACTCGCTGTCGAATCCACGGAGAATTCGAAATCTCCCGAGTATTTCCGTTCCCTTTCTTTCTTTCCTCTTTTGCACGTCAATGCCCAAGAGATCGGAGTAAATCCACTTCATTACTACTTCGACTAATAAATATGAAGTTTTTCCTTTTTTAAACTTACAGAGTTTAAGGCTCGTTTTTATGGTCTTTCTATTCTATGAATTTTCACGGAAAATACTCGATCACAAAGCTCTGTTGTTTTTTTAAAAATAATGGCCTAATGCATTTTTTTTTTACTTTTTTTTATTATTATTATTTGATTTATGCTTTGTACGTGCCTTTATTTTGTATACCATTGAAAGTAATATAGCGAGAGTGAAACGTAAGAGGTTTATGGAGGGTCGCCGTGATACATAAGGTCGATCATTCCGACCCCAAAGAAAGATAATCAAAGATGTATGGGGGCGTATTTGGCTGAATGGATGGCAAAGTGGATACTTCGGAGAAAAGACGGGGGTTGCACTGAAAGGTAAACTATTCGGCAAACCTACTGAAAAATCCAGATGTACATAATTGTGGGGAAGATACAAATATTTATCAGAAAAAAGGGGATACGCAATTATTTTTTACTTTGTTTTTTTTTTTCTTTCAACAATAATTATTGTACTTTTCTTTAACTATCAAATTGTTTTCTGCATCAAAATTATTGCAACGAATAACTTTTTTAAAAAGTTTGACGAATTCTACTTTAACAAATGCATGGATTTTTCACGAGCATTTTACGACGGCGCGTACAAGTGGAGACGAAAAGAGGAGATCTCATGTTTAACCAGCTCGAGCACGCTTCCAAGCCCATATGTGAGCTAACTCGGGTGAGATATAGCACGTGACGGGGGAAATGGAGGAAAGTAATACGAGGTTTGACATAGGAAGATAGGAAGAAAAAAAAAAAAAGAGGGACGAAAGTAAGTTCAGAGAGTAGGTATTTGTCGGGACAGCTTGAAGGTTGATTTTCAACAATGAAAGGCAGATGCTGCACATTGAGATGGAGATGGTAACGTGAGCGTACATATACCTACTATGTTAATCAATAGTGACAAAGTGTTTTCGAAGACACACAATTCATGTTTGAAAAATAAATTTTAAGAGTATTACCACCACCACCACACCCAACTTATTGATTTTTCCGACAAAGCCACTGGTATGTCTGAATAAATGTGTCCTCCGTTTTAAGTTAGAACGTTTAGTCTTGTATGAAAATCGCTATTTCATCGTAGTAATCCATTAATTTAGTTTAAGTAACCCAAAGCAAAATTAACCAAAACACGCAGTAGAAATTTATTTTTACAGATTAGTTCATTAATTTAGTATTTACAATTTGAATTACGAACGTTTGACAGGACTCGGGTGTATTAAACATAACCTACACCAGCGGACTATAGTTTTTTTTAAGCAAAATGATTTAAAATGAAGTATGCGCAAACAGGTATATGGATTTTCCTTAAAAAATTAATTAAAAATATAATTGGAAACATTAACACCAGAAAAAATTTGGACGAGATCGAAGCCCTTGAAACAATAATTTCACGGGACGTCGCATTAACGTAACATAACCAAAACCCACTAGAGCTAGCACACGTAATTTAGCCATATGTATATACAGAGCCGCACCGCAAAATCCCCTGATTAACTTTTGGAAGCTTGGCAGTGCCACTCCACGTGTGTATGCACACGTGCACAAGTACGTAAATACATTGAGAAAATACACGCGAGTGCACTTGCGATGTTGTACTCTCTCTCTCTTTTTAACCCGCGGTCCACCCACTGCTATATTTCTACTTTCCACCCCCTCGCACACGCTCTTTTTGAAGCGAAATTGCAGAGCACATGTCGGTCGTCGTTTTCCAATACCCTACCGCTGCTGGAATCCTCTTTTTTCCTATTTTGGCTGTCTTTTAATATGCCATCATTGTATCATTTCTTTTTTCCCAGGGATATTTTCCCGTGGCTACCTTTTTTTTTGGTGGTGTGCTTGAAAACAAATACGTACTATTTTCTCGAGGGTAACATTTAGCTTGTAAAAAAACATACTTTTTTATGCGTTTTGTTTTCGTTTAATACACAACAGTGGATCTATTTGTTTGTACATCTTCAGGAAGAGGTTATCAACTTCTTTGGTAATATTGGAGTATGCTTTAATACATTTTTTTTTATTTCATTTGTCAAATTAAAAAAAAATATGACAGTGATTTTTATATTAACCATAGCTTTGTGAAAAAATATTAAGCATAAGTATCATTTTAAAATTATGCCTGAAAAAATAAATGATGAAGAAAAAAAGAAATTCTTTGTATCATGAAGTAAGGTATTACAGTTTTCGAGCTAGTTTACGACCGGAGCACGCCCATTAAATGCATTTAACCCGTCGCTAAAATAAATTTATGATTATACTATAAAATGTACTAAATTACGCTAGCTTGTTAA